AATGATATACTTATGGGCATAAAGGTGATTAATAGGCTTTGTGTAAATTGGAAAGTGAGGAATAAAGCTGCTCTTGACAGCTCTCAGGGCCAATATGAGCTCTCTCATTTCTGACTGCCTGTGTAAGTCTATTTCATTCTTTTCTCTCTGTGGATCTACTTCTTCTGCCTTCTTGTCAGCTTCCTTAGGTCCCAAAATTGTGGCCCCAGCTCCTAAGTTTAAATGATCTTTTACTCAGCTCCTCCTACATAAGTGAGCTGACCTTCCATTGTCCCAATTCCAAATTTCTAGAAGAGCCTGATTGGCTTAGCTAATTTTTTCTTGCTAGGTTACGAAGCACCCTACAGTTAGAACCTCTTAAGTCACTCCAGGTATGGCAGGTAGACATATGACAAGCAGGAGCTATGGTAGACTATAACACTACATTGTTGGTCCCCAATGACCAGTATTTCCCAATATTTATGACTTTGTGCCATCTCTTCCCATGTCAATTCTGGGCTTGGCCATGTGACTTGATTTGGCCAGTGAGACATTAGAAAGCATGGTACAATCAGGAGCTTGATAAGTACTTACATATTGAGACTGTACTGTTGGAAGCTGGCAACTTGGTTTTATTTTTTTTCTTTTCTTTTAAATTAAAAAAAAATATGAATAGATAAAATTGTACGTAGTTATTGTGTACAAAATGATGTTTTAAAGTATATATGCATTGTGGAATAGTTAAATCTAGCTAATTAACAAATGCATTACCTTACATAGCTATCATTTTTGTGGTGAGAACACTTAACATCCACTATCTTTCCATTTTTCAAAACTACAATACATCATCACTATAATCACCATGCTGTACAATAGATCTCTTGAATTTATTCCTTCTATGTAACTGTCTCTATATATCCTTTGATCAACATCTAATCATCTCCCCAAGTCCTAACCACCTCAGCCTCTGCTAACCATCCTGTTCTCTACTTCTATGAGATTAACTTTTTTAGATTGCATATGAGTGAGATCATGCAGTATTTCTGTGACCACAATGCTTTAAAACAACTTGGGTTAGACTACTAAATGATGAGAAGCTGTGTAGAAAGAGACTTTGGATGATCAGAGACTATCTTAGATGGTCTAGTCCCATCTGAGCTTCTGGTTGAATGCAATTGCGTAAATGACCTCAGCTACACCATATGGAGTAGAACTGTCCAGATAAGCCCAGCCAAATCACAAAATCATGAAAAGTAATGACTGTTCTTTAAAGCCTCTATGTCTTGGGCTGGTTTGTTAAATTAATAAACAACTGAAACAGAAATTAGTACCAGAAGTAGGGGTGCTGCCATAACAAAAATCTAAAATATGAAGTACTGTCATTGGGACTAAGTGACAGGCAGAGGTTAGAAGGATAGGGAGGAAACTGTTAGTGAAGGCAGAAGAGCAGTGAGAAAATTGTTGCTGGAAGCTGGAGAAAGGGGAGCTAGTGTTATGTGCTGGCTATCACCAGTGTTAACTTGGAAACTAGAAAAGACATCTAACAAAATTATAAATTTTAGATAAAGATACTTCCAGGAAGAATGCTGAAAATGCCAGTTTATTTTAGCTCTCTACGATAAGGCATTTTAGGAGAGATGAACTAAATAAGGAGCTGTTCAGTTTTCAAGCAGAATTTAGAGAAAATGTTTCTTTTCTTTTTCTTTTTTTAAAGATGACCGGTAAGGGGATCTTAACCCTTGACTTGGTGTTGTCAGCACCACGCTCACCCAGTGAGCGAACTGGCCATCCCTATACAGGGATCTGAACCCGTGGCCTTGGTGTTAGCAACACACTCTTCCAAGCACCCTTGACTTGGTGTTGTCAGCACCACGCTCACCCAGTGAGCCAACTGGCCATCCCTATACAGGGATCTGAACCCGTGGCCTTGGTGTTAGCAACACACTCTTCCAAGTGAGCCACAGGCCAGCCCTTAGAGAAATGTTTCTAAAAGGATTTGCTAGAAACAACCATCTTGTTTTTGTGAAAGGCTTTCAAAGTAAGAAATGACCTAAGGGCAAAAATCAAATCCAGGGTACTGCCACAAAACATAGCCTCAGAATGAAGATCAAAATAAATAAAGGCTCAGCTGTCAAACCCTTTGTTTAGATCTAACATCTTGTCAAGATCTAAAATTTAAGGTAATGTTCTGTAGACCCTCTCAACTAGACAAAAGGGCTTCTAAGAATTTTAACGGTGTTGTCCCACAACACTGACTTACAGCCTAAAGATGAGTCTGTCTTGACAGAGTGGGATGCATTCTGTCTAAATGAGCAGACTACAATTTATTATTTAGAAAGCTCACAGAGTGTTAAAGAGAATTTTAATAGTGAAAGCAGCACCAGTTTTAACTAAAAGGGATAGAGACAACTCAAACTGAAAAGACATCTTAGCTCACAACTTCATTGGGCAGTAAGCAGGCTGAGAAAACCACTCAACCACAGACACAGGTCATTTCCTATTTAAAAAGTAAGGCAACTCAGAAGCTAGAGAGCCAAGGGCTAAGAGCATAGATCTAGAAGCCCAGGACAGCAGTGGTGAGCAGTAGGAAAATCCTACCAGGGAGCAGAACCAAGCCCTAACCAAGGGAATTCTGGATTTGGGGTGAACTGAGATATATACCTGGCTGGATATCAGAACTATTATGTGTGCCGGCCTGTGGCTCACTCGGGAGAGTGCGGTGCTGATAACACCAAGGCCATGGGTTCGGATCCCACATAGGGATGGCCGGTTGGCTCACTGGCTGAGCATGGTGCTGACAACACCAAGTCAAGGGTTAAGATCCCCTTACCGGTCATCAAAAAAAAAAAAAAAAAAAAAAAAAAGAACTATTATGGATCAGTGACTGCTCTGTATCTTCCACTCCCCCCGTCTCCCATTTTGAACAGGAGTGTCTATTATGGTTATCCTGCTTTTGTCTCAGCATTGTATGTTAGGTATGTGGGAAGCCGATAACTTGTATTTTTAGGACACAGGCAGTGGTGTGCTGGTAAATGTTTAACAACGGGTCTTCAGGGAAAAAAATTTAAAAGCTCTGTAGTGTTTGCCAATTTCTGTAGTATAAATTCTCCCACCATAGCTGATTTCACCAATGTCACTGAACATGGAGTTGGGAGAAGATATTCACAATCAGCTCTCATGAGCTGGTATGAGCCAGCTCTAGGATACCACAAAGGGTTCCTGGACCTGAAGAAATGTACCAGAGCAGCTTCACCTATATTTGCAACTGATTCAGATGATGAGACTCTTCACTTCAAACCTGATCCTGATGCCATTTGGGATGAAAATTTGAAAGGGGTTGGTAGGGGGTGATTGTATTTTGCATGTGGGAAGGACATGAATTATAAGGGGCCAGAGGGCAGACCATAGTTGATTATTATATTAGTAGCCCCCAATGAATAATCTCTCCTGGTTTTCATGTTTTTGTCTAGTTCCATCCCACACTGATTCTGGACTTAGCCACAGTAACTTGTTTTGTTTATGGGACATTAGCAAGCAAGGTGCATACAGAAACTTGACAGTCACTTACACATTAAAATTGTCCTCTTGATATCTAGCCACCATGCTTTAAAGAAATTTGAGCTACACTACCGAATGATAAGAGGCTTCATGGAGAGAGGCTGTTATGGACTGAATGTTTGTGTCCCCTCAAAATTTGTATGTTGAAATCCAAACCTCAATGTGATGGTATTAGGAGGTGGGGGTCTTTGGGAGATAATTAGGTCATGAGGGTGGCGCCCTCATGAATGGGATTTGTGCTTTAATAAAAGAGACCTCAGAGAGCTGCCTTGGTCTTTCCTCCAGGTGAAGTTAAAGAGAGAAGAGGTCCCTCACTATAATATGCTCATGGGCTGGAGCTGTCTCTTTTATTTCCTGCTCCCTCTCATTTTAGCATTTTAAGGATTTCACCTGGATTAGCCTGTTTAATTCTCCAACTGTCCTCTCATTATCCTAATTTTACAAATGAGAAAATTGACTATTAACAACCCAGGTCACACAGCTAATAAATGGCTGAGCAAGAATCTAAGCCCAAGCTATCTAGCTTCAGCGTTTATGCTTGATCTTGAAGGGGGAGGGCAGTACACACTAACCAGAGGAAAGGGGCCAGGAATGGGAAGAGTCTACTAGACCTAAAAAAGAGCTTGCAGAAGCCTTGGTCTGCATTTTGTTTCTAAGGCCTTGTCTCAGAATTCCTGATCTTCTCCCCAGCTGCCCACTAAATTCTCCAACTACTCCCCCTCTGCGGAAGTAACTCTCTCTTCTTCCCATCCTTTATCCTTTGTCCTTCTTTGTGAGTCTCCTTTGGTGCTGTTCTGATATGAGGACCCTGATGTATATGGGGACCTGAGGTATGGAGAAGTATCGTAGTCTCAATGTTTTACTTTTTCTCCTTTTACCCAAATGAGGCATCTGGAGGAAGGGGCAGTAGAGGGGTTGAATCCTAGGGCCAGAGAAAGGACAGACTCCCCAGCTCCCGTCCCTTGGATCCAGGCCCATAAAGCGAATGGGCTGACACTACAACCCGTGAAAGTTTGTGGGTCCTGCAGAGAGAGGAGATGAGGGCAAGCAGTCTCCAAAGAGGTGAAATTTTCGGGCCGGCCCGTGCCTCACTCGGGAGAGTGTGGTGCTGATAACACCAAGGCCACGGGTTCGGATCCCATATAGGGATGGCCGGTTAGCTCACTGGGTGAGCGTGGTGCTGACAACACCAAGTCAAGGGTTAAGATCCCCTTACCGGTCATCTTTAAAAAAAAAAAAAAAAGAGGTGAAATTTACCAACTTGCCAGCTGCCCATTGGTCAGGTCTGAGCCACCAGAGGGAGTCTGGGGAGGATGGTGGGGAGCCTAGGATTAGGAGATTACAGGCTGAGGGAGGCAGGAGTTGGATGGTTTTGAGGAGGGAATCGGGGGTGAGGTTGGTGAAGAAACTTCCTTTCCTTGAGAGGTCAGATTTTCGGGAAGAACTACAGACCAGGAACGCACCTGTCTCGGCAAAGCTGATGACCTCATATTCCTGTCCCCTGTTGTCCTCCAGAAGTGCCTTCTGTGGGGGCCCATGGAGTCGCTGCAGTGCAGTCCTCAGAGCAGCTTTGGACACAGGCTGGCTCAGTGTTGGGCGCTGGCTGAGGTGCAGCTTGTCCAAGATGCTTCTCTTGGCCAGGTCAAGAAGCAGTTCCCGCTGGCTTTCCGGGTCCAAAACAGGTCCCCCACATGCTGGACACCGATAGCCAGCTCTGGGAGTGGCCACTGTGGCTGCAGCCAGGAATAGAAAGGCCAGGAACAATGAGGAGGTCATTGCCTGGGGAGGCCCTCCTCGAGCGACACAAACCTGGGGTCTCCACAGCTGTGATTTCACCCCTGTGCTGGCCACCAGGGCCCCAGAAGAATTGTGTGTCCAGCTAGCACGACTCCTTGTTGCAGAGGACAAAGCAGCCAAACATGACTTAAAAAGTGAAGCCAGTTACAGGTAGAATTTGGCAGAACCTGCCAATGCATAGTCAGTGAAAGCACAGAGTGGGGGATGTGAGGAGAGGTTGGTTTGTTTGGAGAAAGAAATGTCCCTGGGCCAATGTTGGGAGACAGTTGTTAACCCATGTGAGCTGCCAGGCCTGGGGACAAAGGTTAGAGTTAAAATTTCTCCTGGCCTTGCTGGGAAGCCTGAGGGAAAAGGGAGAGATCAGGGGTCTTAAGAGAGTGTTAAAGGGTGACTCTCAAACAAGAAGGGATCATTGGCAGGGTACTTTGGGTCACTGTTAAGCAGGTTAATTGAGAGGTGCATTCTTCCTCTGGTGGTCTGGTGTTTCTCCAAGCCACCCACCCCTTCCATCCTACCTCCCTGGGGCTCTCAAACCAACCTTCTTTGTTAGTCCTCCTTGGGTTTTGCCCAGGGCTGCTCAAAACCATCCAGTCTGAAGGCTAAGGGAGGGGAGGGGAAGTGTTCTAGCCAGGTCTTCTGTGTCCTCTGAGGGAAGTTTGAAGGTGGGGAAGGGGCTTGAGATCTAGATTTGCTCACCCTTTGGGGTTTGGTCTGCCTAGGAAAAGAAGTTTTGAGATTTCCCAGAATTCCTAGCTCTCTCCCTCAGAGGTCCTGAGCAGTGGATCTATGGGGAAAGGCCTCTGTTTCCACAGCAGGGATTTACCTGGCAGGAGTGGAGGGTGGAGTTAAAAAAGCATAGGAGTTAAAAGCATAGGCTTTTAAGTCAGATGGCCCTGGTTAAAATCCTGTCTCTTCCTGTGTGACTCTGGGTAAGTTACTTACCAATGAAGCAAGAGAATTTGCTTCATTGGAGAAATGGGAAAAATGATTATCCACAATTTCAAAATCCAAAAAACCCTGTAATCTATAAATTTTTTGGATAACAAATGGTGGCTAAATATGACCTAAATGGAAGTGAGGTCAGGTTTTATATGGTCTTTTAAAAACATCCTGCTGGGGCCGGCCCATGACTCATGGGGGAGAGTGCGGTGCTGATAACACCAAAGCCACAGGTTTGGATCCTATACAGGGATGGCCGGTTAGCTCACTTGGGAGAGCGTGGTGCTGACAACACCAAGTCAAGGGTTAAGATCCCCTTACCGGTCATGTTTTTTTTATTTTTTATTTTTTTATTTTTTTATTTTTTAAAAGATGACCGGTAAGGGGATCTCAACCCTTGGCTTGGTGTTGTCAACACCATGCTCAGCCAGTGAGCAAACCGGCCATCCCTATATAGGATCCGAACCCATGGCCTTGGTGTTATCAGCACCGCACTCTACCGAGTGAGCCACGGGCCGGCCCTCATGTTTTTTTAGAAAAAAAAAGAAATATTATTTGATTATGGGATGCTACTCCTGGGGGTATTACATAATATACAGTATATGTACTATTTTACCTTTCTAAAACTTGAAATTTTCTGAATTCTGAAACATGTCTAGCACTAAGGATTCTATGTATGAAATTATAGATCTATAATAAATATCTCATTAGAGTTTCGAGAAATAATTTTATAAAGCACTTACAACAGTGGCTGGCACATAGTAAGTGCTTAATACAAGTTTATTATTATTCCTGACACATAGGTTTGTTTGTGGGCCAGAGCACCCTCACTTCTACATGTGCTGAAGAAACCCTGCTAATATTTGCCCTTCTGAAGGCTTCTTTCCCAGATGACATGCCCCTAATCACTATCTGTAGTGCAGTCACTTAGCAAGTCATCTCTGATGCTTACCATTATATTCCTAGCATTGTGCACAGTGCCTAGTATATAAAACAGGTGTTTAAAATCTATTTATTGAATTAATAAATGTTACAATCCAGGCTGTAATCAGAATGTTACAGGCCGAGCCCGTGGCGTACTCGGGAGTTCGGATCCTATATAGGGATGACCGGTGCACTCACAGCGCTCACTGGCTCAGCGCGGTGCGGCCAGTCTCAAAAAGGACAAAAAAAAAAAAAAAAGAATGTTACCGAGATCCCAAAGGTCCCTTCGCTGGATGCTCAATAGCCAATAATCTAGAATAAGAGTTGTAAAGAAAGATAGCCTTTAATCAGGAAGCCGGCAGCCTGGGGAAATGGTGGGCTTATGTCTCAAAGACCATCTCTGCCTCTCCCAGGTTTGCCAAAAGATTTCTTAGGAGTCTGTGGTAGAAAGCTGATTCATGGTGACCAAGTGGGGACATGCAGACATGCTTGAGTGTTTCAGATAATCATCAAGGAACTTCTCAGGTGAGAGTTGACCAGCATCATACTTCATTCGCCATGGATTCAGTTCCTGTTATTCTCAAATTAGATCAGAGTTAGTAAGCTAGAAAAGAATGGCCATCTGGGTTAATAATTTTTCTCTAATTATTTGTGTACAATGTGATAGCAAGAGTCATTGTGTTCTGGCAATTAGCTGCAGGCTATGTGGTTTGGGTTACAAGACAGAACAAGTTTTCAAATTCAAAGGTTTAACAAAATGAAGTCACTTCTGTTTAGGCTGTTAAAAGAGGTTACAAATCACTTGGGTTGAATTTTTGTTTATCACAGTCTCTTAGCTGTCTTCTACGGGAGCTGATTTTATTTTATTTTATTTTTTTTAGGGCTACAATAATAGTAAATTTATTAGGTCAGTGTTTGGATCCTTGTACTGGCCAACTGCCAACAACAAAAAAGTAAATGAACTTATTAGTCTCTAGTATAAATTTGTTTATTTATTTTTGGCAGCTGGATGGTACAGGGATCGAACCCTGGACCTTGATGTTATTATCAGCACCATGCTCTAACCAACCGAACTAACTGGCCAGCCTATTTATTTATTTTTAAAATAGCAACTTCAGGCTCGCAGATTCACTCACCTGGTTAGAGTACCACTTTGTAACACCAAGGTCAAGGGTTTGGATCCTATACGGAAAAAAAAAAAAGAATGTGCAATTCAGTGGTTTTTAGTTTATTTACAAAGTTGTACAACCATCACCACTATCTAATTTAAAAACATTTTTTTTTTTTTAAAAGATGACCAGTAAGGGGATCTTAACCCTTGACTTGGTGTTGTCAGCACCACGCTCAGCCACTGAGCTAACCGGCCATCCCTATATAGGATCCGAACCTGTGGCCTTGGTGTTATCAGCACCGCACTCTCCCGAGTGAGCCACAGGGCCCGCCCCTAAAAACATTTTTATCACCTCAAAAAGAATCCCTGTACCTATTAGCAGCCACTCACCACGCCCCCTCACTCCAGCCTACAGGGAGTGATTTTATCTCTAACATTTTAATATTCCTAATTGCATTCTTGTGATACTGAAGAAGATGATCTGTATCCAATGGCTGACCTCAACTCACCCCTTCCTCTACCATGTTCTTGACTCTGCCACAGGAAAGAATTCAACAGCAGAGTCACAGTAGAAAGTGACTTATTTCTTATTCTTTATATTAAAACAGATTTAATGTAAGGAATAAGAAATACAGACTTCAAAGGGAAAGTGCAGCCTAGTTCCAGAGACTCAGCGGCAGCTGCAGCAAGTTTAATACAAAAGTAAGAAATACACACTCTACAGACAAAGTGCAGGCTGGCTCCAGAGTGAGCAATAGCCCCACCTTCTTCTTGAATTCAACTTCTATAACTTGGCTATCTCTACATATTCACATTATCTAATGAATATTCAACTGAGGGGGTGGTTCCCAGTTATGTAACAGGTTATGTTACACAGCCTTGCATGTGCTCAGTTGATCTCTTTGGGGCACACTCCTTGGGCAAATTCCACCACATGCACCAAATACACTTAGAATATTCTAGGTGCTCTCTAGCGCCTCCAGTGAGAGATCATTCAAGGGATAAACTTTTTATTGAGCATGCTCAGCTACCAAGATTACACCAGTCTGCCTCCCGGGGTCTTAATCTTCACCTGCTGGTACTGAAAATAGGTGCCACAAGGGACAGTAGCTCAGGACCCAGAGGAGGGGCTTGAGTCCTAGGGAAGGTTTGAGACTCAGGTGAGTAGCCTGAAACTCAGAGAAGTGGCTTGAAACCTGATCCCTTGGGGACTGAGCACCTCCTGTCTCACTTGGATAACTTTATCTTAAGTTTGGGGGAGGTGGTTACATTGCTATTTGTTTCATGTCTTAACTAAAGTTAAGTAATTCCCAGAACCCTTCAACTCCTAGGATGACTTCAGCTGCTCCTCTTCTCCCTGTGAAGCTGACAGATAGGGAGTAAGAGACAAACAAAGGGGGGAGAAGCAGAGGAGGGATCCTCTCAGGGTGAGATATCTCACTATTTCTGCCTTAGTTGTTCTTCAGTTTTTGCACTTGTCCCAGAAAAACTTCAGACTGTTTCACTCTATGTCATGGCACATAAGGTCCTTTTTAATCTACCCTTTCCAGTTACATTTCTAATAGTGTAGTGGCTAAAAGCAGGCTCTGAAGGTGAACTGCCTCAGTTCATGATCTGGGACTTCGGTTGAATTACTGTGCTCATCTCTAAAACAGGTATGATAATAGAACCTATTGTTTTCAGGATTAAATAGAACTAATAGATGTAGAATGCTATTATACTATATTATACATGTGTAATATAAACATTGGCTATTATTTCCTCCTGGCCATCACTGCCTCCTGCCCCCAACTTAAAAATCGGGAACTTGCTGATCTGCAAAGGAAAGATGGATTTCACACCTCTATGAGTTTTCTGAAATCTCCATTCTTACGTCTCTAGTGAACTCCCATTTATATTCCTCAAGGTTAGCTGAAACTTCAGCTGTAATCCCTTTTATCTCTAAGAACTAATTTCTCCTTGTGTTTCCATAGCACATGGAAACCTCTCTATTATAGCACTTACATTGTACTACAATTATTGATTTTTTTTTTTTTTTTTTTTTTTTTTTTTTTTACCTTTTGCAGTTACTGTCACA